GAATATATATAAGGTACTTTAGATGTAGTAAGTTGTTGTTTTATTAGTGCAAACCTACACAATGAGTTACCTGCATTCTGTCCACCATAGGGGGGAATTATGCCCTGAGTATTAGCATCTAAGTTGTAAACTTACCGTTCACCCACCAGGGGATGATTTAGTAAATTTGTTTTGAATTTCACAAAATGCTACATGAGGGCTATCTGTGCTAGCCATTCCTAATTTAGCAGTGAAAGACTAAAGGGAAGGCAGCTAGTCATCACCACCCACTGCCAACTCTTGGGCTACTCTTTTACCAACAAATAGTGGAATTGACTGTCACATTTTAATGCTCCCACGGCTGAAAGGGTGAGCATGTTTCATGGGATGGGGATTCGAACCCTCGACCTTCAGATTGCAAGTCAACTGCCCTAACAACCTGGCCATGGTGGGCCAATTTAGTAAGTTCCAAAGCAACATGTAATACTCATCTCACTGTACCAACAAATTTAATTATCACAATTAGCTTTGGACTGATAAACAAGCTAGTATTTTATAAAAAACAGACTAGTGGAATGGTAATAATCACCCCAGTTATGACATGTAAAAACAAGCACTTATTTCATAAGTCAAATTGTGTTATTTATAAACTCGGTAATAGATTTGTAAGAGTCACCATGGATCTGGAACATAAATAATTAAAAAAAACAGTTATTAATGGAAATGTAACAACTACCATTGAGTCAAAAGATATTAAATAGATCTCTCTAAAAACATTTTTCCTTGAGCAATAAGTTAATTAGTATTGTCTAAAAACTGTTAGCTGACTTACAGCAATTACATCTGATCTAGTGAATCAACTAGTGTAAAATAGAATCTCACTAATGGAACAGTAACAATTATATCAGGTCTAATAACCCCACGGTTGTTTTTATAGAAACTCTCTAGCTAAGCTGTAACAGTTATCCCTGGTTTACATATAATCTCACTAATGGAACAGTAACAATTATATCAGGTCTTATAACCCTACGGTTGTTTTTATAGAAACTCTCTAGCAGAGCTATGACAGTTATACCTGGTTTACATAGAATCGCACTAATGGAACAGTAACAATTACATCAGGTCTTATAACCCCACGGTTGTTTTTATAGAAACTCTCTAGCAGAGCTATGACAGTTATCCCTGGTTTATATAGAATCTCACTAATGGAACAGTAACAAATATATCAGGT